AACAAGAAAGAAAAAAAGAAAAAAAAGGAAAATACTTGCCAAATACTTGAAAAAAAATATGTCAAATTGAAAATGCAGCCTTACTGGTACAATCATCAGTATTGTTAGTTGTCGTTGGTTGTAAACAATTTTCCATATGTTTATTAAGTAATGACATACGTGAAAATGTTTTTGAACATTTTGTACATCGATATTTTTTAATTTCCGAATGTGTTTGCATATGTGCACGTAAATTTGAACGATCAGCAAATGCTCGACAACATATTTCACATTGAAATGGTTTTTCACCAGTATGAGTACGTACATGTCCTTGTAATAACCATGGACGTGAAAATGCTTTACCACAAATTTTACATTTACATGGTAATGTATGTGTACGTATATGCATTTTAAGTGCACCTAATGAATTATATGTTTTTTCACAAAATTTACATTGAAATTGTTTTTTTATTTGTGCTATACAATGAAATTGTTTATGTTTAGATAATCCACCGAATGTTGAATAAGATTTTAAACAACCATCACATTGATAACGTGAATTTGTTATTGATGTTATTGGATTTGGTGATGGTGGTGATGATGATGATGAACAAGATGATGATGATGTTGGTGGTGTTGTTGTTATTGTTGATAAAGGTTTTTTTATTGATGAATTAATTGTTGGTAATGATATTTGACCATTTTTTAACATTTGCATTGTAAAATATTGATAACTAAGATAATAAAGATAGGAAAAATCATTTGTAGACATTAAACGTGGAAATATCGTTGATGTTGACATTGGTTTAGGAAATGCTCGATGTAATTTAGAATCATTTTGACATTTTTCTTCAATTGAAATATTTTCATCATCATCATCTTCTGTTTCAAGTGTTGTTTCAGCTGATAAAAGATTTGATATAAGAAAACTTTTACGATTATCGGATTCTATTTAGAAACAACAAAAGAAGTTTTTTCTTTTTTTTTTAATATAAAAAAATATAAAGATTTTTTTACCAGTCATTGTTTCGTCTTCAACAATATTTCTTGTTGTACTACTCATCATTACTTCTTCTATTTTGATGGAGAAGTATCTTATTTTTCTTTTCTTTTCTTTTCTTCTTCTCTCTTTATATATATATATATTTTCTCACTTTTTATTCGTGCTCTTCTTCTCTCTCCTGTCGCGTATTCTGATAGGTTCTTTCTCTCTGTTGTTGTCAAAGCATAGCGCACTGACTGTGTTTCTTCTGCCACTATTCAACCAGCCAGTGCTTAATTATAGATGATCATAGTGAAGCTTTATATCCGTTTCTTTTCTCTCGTTATTTCGACATAAGTATGTCGTTATTCTGAGAAAAGTGCCAGCTGAAAAGAATAGTGCTGTAATTCTTAGCTAAAATTACTCCATTTGATATGTATACGATCATCACATAGATATACATATATATGTATGCTATTATCGAACCAATGAAAAAAAGAAAAAAAAAAAAATATATACATATAATGATGATTATAGGATGCACTTGTCGACAACTTGTCCAATGAGAAGAAAGTACGAAGTAAATTGTATTGAATTTCTTTTAAGTACAAACCAATTAGTTTTATATAATATAAAGTCATTTATCTTATGTGTCTATTCATGCATCTTAGTAGTTGTCTTCATTCAATATTTGTTTACGAAAGACGATATATACAACGGCATGCGTTGTACATCAATCTATGCAAAAGTCAATCAATCACCTCTCATATCTCTGCATTATATAAAGTTAAAACTTCAAATAAATATCGAGAAAAAGGAAGAAGAACAAAAAATGTCAAAACGACAACGCCTTTTGACACCAATTATAATAAGCGTGCTTGTTTCTATATCATATTATTCGAAATTAAGATAGAAATATTTGTCAAATAAATAGAGTTTTGTTTAGAAAGGAAGACGAAAGTCGTGAACTGTAAATAGATTTACATATAGAAAGAATAATCATATAATAAACTGAAGATTATCTGTTATTGTAATCTCATTGCTTGTACTCAATTAAATATTGAAGGAAGAACATGACATTCTTTTTTAGTCAAACGATGCTAACTAACGAATCATATTTGAAAAATCACACATATGCACATCTATCTACACGGTAGGTAGCACAGATACAGTTAGTCGTCTATCATCATTAGCTTCATTCGAAAAGAATGAAATTTCTTTTTTTTTTTTCTTCATACTCGTTAAATATGTTCAAGTGTCTCTCGAAAGGAAAGAAAACACACCTTTCTTATAATGGAATCAACAAATAGACAATGGTTGATTTATGCAATCATTTTGTTGATTTTCGTGTATTTCTCAGCATGATAGTTTGTTTCGTCATAGAACATGCTGTCTAACTCGATGCTTCTTTCATTATATATTGAAACATCATGTCACATAATTAGCAAGAGTAGCAGCTGTATTGACAAATATATTTCTCTTTTTCTTGTTTTCAACAGACAGATCCATCCAAAGAGTATAGATCTTATGAAGTTTCATTTCTAATAAAGATTCTTTCAAATGTTTGTTTCACATTAATTTCCAATGAAAAAAAAAACAAACTCGAATGACAGAACAATATAACGAAACAGATTTGATCATGTTTTGACAGCATTACTGTCTTCTTCGATGACAATCAATGTTTATTTCAACCAACTACTTGATATTTATGAAATAGATGCTTAAACAGGTGTATTCACTTGGTGTTGCTTTGCAATGAACGATTTGGCAAACTTTCATAAAGAACTTTCATGTATTCATGTTGAATTGATTATTTATTATAAAACGAAAAAAAGAAACCATCCATAAAAGAACGTGCGGGTAAAAAGGAATCTGCCAAAACCAGACATTAGGAAGGAAGAAGCCTAATACATACGCGGACGTCTGAAGAATATTTCGATTTTTTATAGAATTCTATGGATAAAAAATTTAGTTCTCTATGAAACCCAACAGCTAAGCATTATACATCAAAAGATATTTTTGGTTATATTATAAAAAATTATCTAGTCAAAAGTTAGACCCATTCTATAAAATGCTGATTGTCGTATTATCGGATGTAATGTTAAAATCTGAATAAAATGGTGGCATATGTTTACTTAGTTTTTAGAAAATTTTTTTCAGTGAAAATAGTATTTTGCCTATGAAACCTAGGATTTTGTCTAAGTCTTGAAGCAAAATTTCATTTGAAAACAACACTAAAGACTGAACAAAAACTGACTAGTGTAAATTATTTCAAAGTTGATATTTGTTGATGAAAATATCAAAACTTTTAAAATTTACAAAATTCGAGATTTTCTAATATTCTAAAAGTTCTAGCAGTTTGAAAGATTAATAAACAAATGAAACTAAATGTATTTTGTAGGAAAACAGGTCAAAATAGAATTTTGGCAGAAAACATCTAAAAAGTGGTTTTTTGTTCTTTTCAACACAACTACAATGAAAAGAAAATCTGATATTCGTTATGTGCATAAAAAACTGACCGTGAGTTGAATGATAAGTATTTTCATAATTTTCCAAGATTATCTTTTTCGAATTTCTACGTCCACATTCATGTTAAACTACGAGAAAAGATCTTCTTCAGGGATGAGTGGAAGCGTATCAGAAAAGCTAGAGAAGAACCAGTTAATGCATAAAATTTCAAAAGAATCACTCTCTCTGGCTTTTTCTTATTGTTGAAGCAGCTCTTGATTAGTCTCCTGAAGTTACTCTTGCAAATGGATAATACATTTTTTGTCTTTCGCCTCGTAAAGTACAAAATAGTACAAACGTCTTTAAATTATACCACAAATATGATCTCATGAATTACAGAATAGACGACTAATCACCTGGGATCTTCGGTTTTTTAATGCGTTTAAAGTAAACTAGTGCTACGTATACACTTAGTTTTCTCACTAGTCTTACAAAGGGTGGGTGTGGGTTTGATCGAGTCCTCTGATAATTCATTTTGTCTAGACGGAATCTAGATAATGGTAACTGCTACATATTTTTCTCTTACCAAAACAAACATTTATCTTATTTAAATAAGCAATGTTTTTCTCAACATGACTGACAAATAAACAAGCTCACTTTTTTGTTAACAATTAAAAAACACTTTCAGAGATTTTAAAATGACAATAATACACAAGAAAAAAAATTTTATTACAATTATTTATTGCCTTATTTATTTGATTAAATATTCACTCATTTATTTATTCATTTATCCATTTATTTTCTTATCATTTTACTTCATCAGTTTGTTAATTTAGCTTTTGCTCATTCATTCACACTCTTAACTCTCAATAGATTCAATTTTTTGTTTTTAAAACAAAACTTATTTATTCTTTGATACAACGAATAATAGTATGCAAATTTTGATGATGCTCAGTGAAAATTTTCGATTTTTTTTCGCTTTTTGACATTTACAATGACGCATTGATTCTTGAAATACATCGAACAGAGAGAAGATACTTTGGGATATATTTAAAAGATAAATCTGTAGAAAAATCGGATGCGATCTTCTTCATTTCAAAACAACATTCTTATGCTTCACTTTCTGCTATGGCAATAATAAATAGAAGATTTCTGTGAAACATGATTGAAAAGAAGTGTTGCAATAAATAGAGGAAAATTTGGATCCATTCAATTGCCTTTCACAATTCATGACAGACATATTGATGACTTTCTTCTTGAGATATCTATTTGTTTAAAGTACAACGTGACATTAAAAGGTAAACAAAAGAGAATAAGAAGATGTTTTGAGGCTAAGATTTCCCGTCTAGAAACACAATACTCGGAACTTGTGCTATCAAATATCGATAATATGAAGTAAAAGGTCATCGTTTTGTTTTTTTTCAAAACTATTATCTGCTTTTTGATATCAAATAATTACTAAACATCTCATATTTCTTTTTTCTTGTTTTGTATCTTAGAATTATTTGTAAATTTGTTTTTTTCATCAAACATTTTTTTAATATTATTTCAGCATATAATGTTTGATTTAAGAATAATTTTTCTTTGGATCATGATTTCTATGGCACATTCAGCTTACAATTCATATCATTATGTTGGTTGTTATACACAAGTATTTTATAATAGTTATTTTATAAGTTCGTATATGGAACCAACATTATGTTTTCTTTTATGTGAAACACCAATTATTTATATACAAGATAATATTTGTCGATGTTCAGGTAGTGGTCTTATGGATCATAATCGACAGAGAGATGAATATTGTACGTTATCATGTCAAAAACCAGGTGATCTTCATGTTAGAACAGATAATACATGTGGAGGTAGAGGAACATATTCAGCATATGCTGAAGAAAATTTTTATACACAACATGCTCATTTATTTAACTATCGAATTCAATTTGTATCATGTGAATTATGGAATACTTCTCGTAATTATGATACATTTCAAGTTGAAATTGATCAATCATCAGTTAAATCCCCATTGAATAAATTGGAACGATGTGCAGCTGCATGTCTTGATCAAAATGCTACGACAAAATCAATAGGTAGAAGAAGAAATATGTTAAGGACGAATAATTATCGAATGATTTTCTCATATTCATAGGAAATAGAATTTTTTTAATCATTGTTATCTATTCTAGTATTTTAATTACGTTAAATATCGCCACTAGAGCACATTAAGCATCGTATGAATAATTAAGCGATACACTATGCATTTTTCTTATGAAGAACATCCAAGTAACTTTCAATCTTGAAAATGATGCTCTCTTTTACCAAGACATGATTTCGAATAACTCAAAAAATGATGTGTAAAACAATTAAAAGAATTTCTTAACGAAAACAAAATATCTGAAAGACTGTCTTGAACTGTTTTTGAGAACACGTTGCGTATCATACTCTATTCGACAAAATTCTGCGCATTGCTGGTCAATGTTTCATGAATTTATCAATAGAGTTACTTTGGATTTTGAAAGAAAAGCTTTCTACCAGAAAAAGCGAGGGAAATTAATAATTGAAACTTGAAAGCATTTGTTAGATATACGGTTCGTTTTTTTTTCTGCCGAACATATAACATTTATTAACAGAATTAAAAGAAATAGTTTCTGAAATGACTTTTTTAATTAATAAAAGTAACTTGCTAGAACGATCGAACTAGATAGTTTACAAGCTTCTGATGAGTGTATCGGACCATATGGAGAGTGTTGAAAACCATCATCTTTCAGACATCTATTACTCAATGTTTTCATTTACTATTTTGTGGAACTCACACATATTTTCGAAGAAAATAGTGAGTGTAAGTTTTAAGGTCAAATATATGCGGCTCCCCCCCCCCCCCCCCCCCATTACAGACACATAGCAACGAGAAAAAAAGGTTCTACTCGAAGTATATAAATGAAAAACGACAACATTTCCTAACAATCAATTATCATTAGAAAAGAATTATCGTCTCTGAGAGAATTTAAACATTATATATGTTGCCATCAGCAAAGTGAAAGTAAAGAAGATATGTGAGTTCCACATTTCAGCCCCAAAGGGGCTGCGCTAACAAGCTTTTTTCCATATTGTTAAAGAATAGCATTATCATAAATTATTGATAGACTTTAACATACATACAAATGAACTTCACTGATAATAAAGAAATATTGGTAGAGTAGGTATTGAAGACTATATATTTCATAAATACCATCAAAAAAAATAACAGCAATCATAGGAGGAAATAAAATATTGCTATTAAATATTCTGAAAAAATTCAAATGTTCGAATATTAAAAAGGATAATGGTTTAGCAGAAAATATAACATCTTCTAATAGAAATGGTTGATGCTGAGGATTATTTCTAGCATTTAAAAGTCGACATATTTCTTTCTAGTTGACATCTGAAAAATAATTGAAAGCGTTCTTTAATCTGTTGGAGCAATTTTAGTTGTTTCGTTCATTCTATCTGGGCTGTAAATCAAGGAGTGATCGATCCTGACTACTACTAGTATTTCTGATCTCTGAATCATTTGAAATAACTCTTCTATGTAATAGCTTCATTCTATTATTATATTGAACAAAGATCATAGTATTCAATTTCTAACAATGATTACAAAAGTTCGCTTTATTTTGGATCTATCAATTGTGAATTATAACATGCATAAAAACCTATAGAACATTAGCTTTCTATCTAAAAAACAAAGACATCTGGAAATTTATTTCTAGCTTTCAATGGTGATAACAATCAATGCTTATGTATAACGTCCCGAAGATTAAATCTAGATATTGATGCTGCACTTAATTTAACAATTTTATCAAATAATAGTTGTGATCGTTATTGTGATAACACATTAGGCGATTTGGAAATTCAACATAAATTTAAATGTGGTTCACGAACAGACTTACGTATATGGGCTATATATGATTTAAATGCGACATGTCCAATTGGTTTTGTTTATATAAAAGAATTAAAAAAATGTATATCTGCCTATAAAAGATATTCAAATTCATGTCCATCACCATCAATGAGATATATTTATGATGGAAATGTAACTTGGAATATCTTTCTAAAAATTATTGAAAAATTAAACTTAACTAGATCGGTTGTTTCAATTGATTTTGATGATGATGTTACTATCGATCCGTCATGGAAATGCCCAACAAGAACAACTATCAATACAAATAATTCAAATCTTTCTAATAGGAATTTTAGTACATATTATGTATTAGATAGCGGTTGTTTACGTGTACACTCCTATTCCTTGAATTCGCATATGTTATTTAATCGTTTATGCATAACAAATCCTGTGCATGAGGATTCATTATCATCTAATACTACATATTATCCAATTTATGGATTAAGTCTTAATTCAAACATGGCTATGTGTCCACCACCATGGTTTGACATAAACACAGATTGTTATCGGATGTCGAATGATCGTAAGACAATTCAAGAAGCAAGAAATCATTGTTCTGATTTGTCAGAATTGGAAGAACGGTATACTAAACGACTAAAACTTACATCAAGTATTGTTGATGATATGAATATGAATAACCAAGCAATACATAAACTCATGAATATTATGATTGATATCTTAGCAGGTGAAATCGCTCAATATACATCACAATGGCAAGTTCGTCTTGGCTTCTTTCTTCTTGATACAAGTAAATTCTCCGAGAAGAGTCTATTAGATTATTTTCGAGTAGTTGTCCATAGCTGTCGGTTTTCATCTGGTACATTTGTTCACACTACTGTTGGTATTTTACTCAGAGAATAAGTATGAGTATGCCACGCTATAATGGCGATCAAAAGATAGACAATTGTTAAAGTATCAAACAATCACCTGCTCACTATGTTTATATGAGCGTTGTTTTGCCAATACGGTGAATAATGGCCACTATAGTCGAAATTAGGCCGAATTGTCTACCAATGGTTTCTCATCACAAACATGAGTATTTTCAGTTCTATCGATCTTTTACGAATTTACTAAAAACATTGTTCACAGATATGAATATTTGAAAATATTTCTATTAGAATTAAAATTGCAGGTGGTTGGCGTAATTTCTTTGAATGGGCTATAGACAAGGGATCTATATGATTCAAGCTTTACAAAGAGCTTCAACCAGATAAAGAAAAATTCTATGGCAAAAAAAAAAACAAATAACTTTCATATAAAAAAAAACAGATATGATCTGACAATCATAAATTATGAAACAGAGATTTAGAATATCATATAGAAGCTAGTGAGCACCAACCTATACTGAAAATGATCTATAACGATAAATAAAAGAATTTTTTCTTAGATGCATCAAATACTGAAGAAAACCTTGATCTATTTCAATCACATTTTGAAAGTTCTTCATCATTAATGTCTAATATTGATGTCAATCTCTCATCTATAAATGAATTTCAAATGATTAATCCAAATGAAGATAGCAACTCAAGCATAAAAAATGATTCATGTTTAGTTTTGACACGTTCAATAACCGACGAGAAAAAAAGAAGTACTATTTTAAGCAATACTCAAATCAATAATTGTTCAAAACCAAGACATGTTTTATGTAGAACAAAATCAATGCTTGGTTTCAACTCTCAACAAACTTGTTATAGTAAACCATTAACACTTGGTTTACCAGCAATGATATCAAATCATTTAACACATGAACTATGCGTATCTGTTTGTAAAACGCTTAGAACAATTTTGGTTGTTATAAATATGAATAAATGTTATTGTGTTAATACTGCTATTTTACAGATATTTGATATGGAAGGAATTTATGCAAAATACAGTACAAACGATTGTGGAAACCCTTGCCCTGGTATGTTTGACAGATCAATATTGGTATTTTTCTTTTCTCAAAACAGGAAAACATTTTTCAATATTTTATCAATGAGAAAACATCTTACCACTGAACTTTCATCATGCACAAAAGTTCACACTGATGTGCTTCTTGGTTTCAAGAGATTTTGAAATGAAAAAGAGAGAATATGCTAGTAGAACAATGATTGATGAAAAGCTAAACAAGCCATGTAAAACGAAAATATCTTATTTTCTTGATTTCGAATTTCAAATTTTTGAAGTTTCTCGAACTCCTCAACTCAATAAACGATAAATAAAATACTAGATCAGCTTTCGATGTACATGCTATACTTTAGGTTACTGTACTAAAATACTTACACAGAAAAATTATCAAAAAATAGGGCTAAACTAGGCATTGCTTGATCGATCTGATTAAAAATCTTTTTGCCTTTTCATGAAACGAACATTCGCAGAAAGTGATACTTATTGACAATTTTTATAGTTAACAGATTTATTTTTACTTGTCAATATATCTGATAGGAAAAGCTACAAATTCATAACTCTTGTATTATTTTCTTTTATTACTCTAAAAATCAATTGTTCAATTGATTTGATTTTTGGACTTATACGTGATCAAATGAATGACTACACAGATTCATATAATTATTTACAATTTCAGGTAATCCACATGAACGCTGTGGTAATACAAATACCATTGTTATCTTACATGTTGCTGAAAATCTAATTCAACCCAGCTTTGACAATACGAATAAACAATTTCCACTATATCCGGATTTCGTTTATGATAGTTGTATACATTTAAATTTTACCAATCAATCAGAAATATATCAATTTAATTTGAATTATATAAATGATGTTCATCCACGTCATTGTTTAGAATTATGTAAAAGTTATAAACAACAATATGCTCTTCTTAATTCAAATAAATGTTTATGTACGAATATTCTAATGAGAAAAAAACAAGATAAAAGATTTACATTTCTAAACTATAATTGTAGTCAAAAATGTCAAGGTAATTTCTTATATACATGTGGAAATACAAGCAATTCAACGATATATTCAATGTATATCATGCAGCCAAGATGTCCTCGGAGTGAGAGAAAAAAAAATCAAAACTTGTTCATTAAATAGACAAAAAAAAGAAATATTCTTACTATTTTAGATTTTCAAGTTACTCAAGATGAACGACGATGTGTACACATTGATTTGTCAGTAAAAAAATATTCTGTCTTAACTGCACGATCCTACTGTAAATCTATTGGTGGTATGCTTGCAAAAATAAATGATATTTTAGAAATTCAAGACATAGTACCAATATCAACGCTAACTGCAAGTCATCTTGATAGATTTTCATTTGGTTATATTTCAAATATACTTAATGATACAAGATATTTTTGGATTGATCGTACATTAGACATAATGAATAATAATACAGCAGCAGATCGTTCTATTAGAAAATGTTTTCAAACATCAAAATCAATTGACCAAAATTGTATTGTTCTTCGTCGCGAAAAAATTCTCATTGATAATCATTGGATTTATGAACAATGTTTTACTGAATCAGATCAATGTTCATCAATGTTTTCTATACCAGTTTGTGTCGATAAACATCTCAAATTTAATTTAACCGCAATTCCTTCAACGACAGATGACGATTCATCAATCATATCAGTTAATACATCAATAGATTATTCATGTGGTGATGATACAGATTATCACTTTGTGAATGACTATTGTTACAAAGTATCCTTTCATGAAACTACTTGGAGTGATGCAAAAGCTGAATGTGAACGTGATAATGCTAAGCTATTTTTACCTGAAAAATGGACAATACTCTCCTTGATAAAATTCTTATTTTTACGTCGACATAGTTACACATCATCTGGTGTTGCACATATTGATATTTTTGCTGATCATCAAAATCGTACTCGTATGCGATATAACACAACCGATGGAAGTACTTTAACAAGTTTACTAGATTTGAATGATTTTCATAGTTTATGCGAAAGAAGATTTCATCAACGTTATGAAGGATTAATGTTATCAACAAATTTATCCACAAACGAGAAAAATCGATCAAAAATGTGTGCATACGTTGATTTTCGATCTGATTCCTTACCATCGATTTCATGTGATGAAATATCTTGTAATCGACCAGCAACTGTAATATGTCAAAAATTACCAATTGTCAAAACGCGTGCTGTTGTAGCAAAACGGTTAGTTATCAATACGATGCATGCAGTGTACAATTAGATCTCTTCTTTCAATCTATTAAATTTGCTTAGATAAGTCAGGAATCCTCACAAAAAAACACTCTCTATATCGACAGAATATTATGCGGAAGTCTGCTTTTGTGTGATCCTTGAAATCATGAATATATCTGCAAGTATTAATTAATGCAATCAATACATTTCTTTTCGGTTTTTATTCCATTCGATGACTATCATGCTCTGCACATTTCTAAGACGACTACAGTTCGATGGGTTCAATAGCCTGTTAGACATAATCTAGTTGAATAAGTCTAATAGTAGCAGGATACGGATGGACAAGGTCAACTTTTTTCGTATTAGGTGCCTTCACTGAGAAATTTTCTAGTTCGTATCTTAAATATGTCTCTTGTGAAGAACTATACATCGATTGTTAACTTTTTCTTCTATCAATAAGTCCTAGTTAGCCATGAACTTAATTAGTATGAGCATATGTTGTTCTATTTGCTTCGAATAGTGTTCAATAAACAATTATATTGGTTGTTTTTATTTTATAATTGATGATCATTTGAAAAGCAGTTCTTTTACTGAAAATTAATCAGAGTTGGGTTATGACTGTCCACATGATTTGATTATCAATACAAACAATCATATCCATTACTCTAGTTCATTCGAAATACCGAATTACTTTCTCGAGTTCTATAACATATTTTGTATTTGTTTCTAGTGAATATACAAACTTACTAATGTCACGGACCCATGATGAATCAAATTTTCAAACATCTACAAAATTTATAGACAAAGGTTTCATATCAATTTTCCTGATATGTTCAATTATATTTGTTCTCGTACTCCTCGGATTTATATATATATTATACAATCGTTATGTTAAACGAAAAAATAATAATAGACTTCATACAGGAAGAATTGATAATGAATCTGTTTATTCTCAATTGCTAATTAGAAATGAATTAAATCAAAATTAAAACTTCGATTTTTTAATTATTATATTGCTATCTTATCATCTTTATTGAAAATGAAGGTTGTTCCATTGATTTTTTTTTCTTTTTAAATTTGTCAACACATCAAGTAGCTGATTTGATTTTTTTGCACGTGTCCTGTCGTTTTGTTCAACATTCCTAATAAAATACAATGATAGATAACTTACACACAACAACTTACGATGGTCAAGAGAAAAAGCAACAAACAGGAAATTTATTGTAAAAGCCTGTTAGCACAGGCCCATCAGAACTAAAATGTTGAACTGAATGTTCTTGGCCTTCATAATACTGATACAAAATAAAAAAAGCGTAAAACCTCGAAACGATGAGAATTCTTTTCTCGTGGCAATCAATGATCAGCAAATGTTGTCTTTTATATTTCCACATTTTGAACACAAATTGTATTTCCGTCTTTTTTTACGGACATCCAATTGTTCGTTTTTATTGTTGCCATTCGATCGTTATTTTTCATTATCATAGTTCTTTTTTTTCTTAATTTAACGTTTTTCTTACTATAAGTACTGAATTAAATGGCAAATAAGTCCATTATTAATATGAGCCATTTCACGTAAGGCATGATTGACAGCATAGAAGAGTTGCTCAAACGAGCCCTTCAGATTTCGGTATAGGTCTTCTCTTTACATAAACCTACATATCCATAAAAAAATCAATATGTAAAATTCCAACAATAAAAAATAAAAAAAACAAATCAAAGAAGGAAAAAATGGTGTATGAACTCATAGAATCGCAATATCATAAGAATTAAAAGATTATCGAAAGGTGATCACATCATATAAAGCATGAAGCATTTTATATGATTAAGATAATGAAAAAGTGATAACAAGAATATGTAGGATTATTTCAATAACATTGTCATTCAAAATTTATCAAGGATTCCAATAGTTTCTTTTACAAATAATTAACGATATTGAAAATTGAGAAAAGAAAACAACTAATTGGTCTCGATTGCATTTGAAGTAAAATCAATATTTTGCTACAAGACTTTTGTGTTCAGAAAATTTCATCCTAAATAGAAAATTTTTTTCCAGCTGCATTGCCTGGCTTTTTAGTAGGTCTTCTCTTGAGTTGAAGTGTACTATTATGAAGAGTCGAGAAATGAAGATAATTTAAGCTATTATGATAGTTATCAATCATAATAAAAATCTTTTTATATGCATTCGGCTTCACTTTGATAAATCTGTTTTCATGAGCCGTGAAAAGATATCACAAGCAATTGTAATATTATGTCATGTATGTAGACAACGTCAATTTATTTAAAGATAATATAACATAAACGAATGTATTTTGATAGAATATTGTAAGAAAAGTAATTACTAATGATTAAATCATTCTCCGGATAAGTTCTAAAAGAAAAGCATAACTTTTACTTCTATAGATTTTGATCAGTTATAATAAACGATGAGAGAAGGTGCATACAAATTCATGGATTTTGATGCTTTTTTAATTTTTCAAGGATATGACAGCCCATAAATTTTCTCTCTTGTTTCAATGTCATATTCATTAACAGTCCCATTGAATACTCACTATCACTGTAAACGCTACTCTTTTTTTACAGTATGTCGCATTAGGTCTGGGGGGAATGTGCGCGTGAATGGGGTTGTGTGCGGATATGGCTGGTAGAAGAACTACACCCACACCCACTCCAACCATACCTACACCCCACACCTCATCCATGCCCACACCTCACATCCATACCCACACCCACACCCTCTTTTCCTTCTCTTTCTTATTATGCTATCATAGTGCATGCACATCAAATTTATTACCAAGTGAAGATAATGACAAAAGAGTTATATTTCAATGTTATATACAGATAATACTGAAATAAAACTCTTCTGTCATTATCTTTACTTGATAATAAATTTGATGTGTATGAAGTGTGATAGCTTAATAAGAAAGAGGAGAAACAGAATTTGTCCAGGTATGTGTGTTTTTAAAGTCATTAAAGTCATAAAAATTATTTTAAGCCAAAAAAGAATTCATGAATGGTGCACCCCAGACAGTTTTTTCCCGGACATTTGCTCTCGCGACACTTGCTCCCCGAAGCTTTGCTCTCCAATTTCACTTGGCATTGAGCTACATCTTTCTCATTGACAAGTTAAAGATAATTTTTAGGAACTTAAAAATCAATGAAATGAAGAAGAGAATAAGATTATCATAAATCCATGCAAGATTTGAAGATGCTGAGAAATTCACGACGTAATTTTAAAATTATAGCTAGTTTTACTGAATTATCATTACGTTTCGAATAAGTGGAGTTTAACTAATAAGTTATAGTGCAAAAATATGGGATCACATAAGTAGTTTAAAGAAAGTATGAAAAAGAAAAGAATATAGCCATTCTATTCCTTTTATTTAGATGATGGTTCTGTTACCGGTTTATAGTATTTCACTAGCTTATTTATTCTGTTTTCCTCAATGCAGTTCTATTCTTATGGTTCTACCTCTTTCAACTTCGATGATATTTAGTAAAACTAACTATAATTTTAAAATTATGTCGTGAATTTCTCAGCATCTTCAATTCTTGCATGGATTTATGATAATTTTATTCTCTCCTTCATTTCATTGATTTTTAAGTTCCTAAAAATTATCTTTAACTTGTCAATGAGAAAGACGTAGCTCAATACCAAGTGAAATTGGAGAACAAAGCTTCGTGGAGCAACTGTCATTGGGAAGCAAGTATCGTGAGAGCAATGTTCGGCGAGCAACTATCTGGGGTGCACCACCCGTGTTACCGCCAAAAAGTCACAAAGTCAGTCGTTATCCCCTTGAGTATGTGTGGGTATGGGTATGCGTATGCATCTTGGTGCGGGTATATTATCTTAACTCATATCTACACCCGCACCTATACGCCACCAACACTCACGCCTACATCCATCTTCAGACCCACATCTACCCTAAAAGAGACAAGCGGTATGATGCGTTTGCATACTTACAAAAACTCTTTTTACATTCAACTCATATATTTCAACGTCACTGATAAGAGTGTTGTAGCTGCAACTCTCTATTCACATATCCAATGTGAAGATGAATTTCAATTTGGATTAATGCGATTACTTATTAACTGATTGCAGTTTGAGCATCTCCAAATGAGTGTAATGAGGGATAGTTAAAATAAATAGTTCAAACTTCGCCAGATATTTTCAAGGCCACATGAATTCTTGATCGAATTTATCAGAGATACAGACGATTTCTTCTTTATGATTAAAGTCATTCTGTTGTATTTCACATTTTTATCTTGTACGAATGGCGAAAAAAGGTGTCTTTTACACATTTCTTATACATGGGAGAAATATCAGCGGGATCCACGCCTGTAGAACCACAATTAACGCAACAACAGGCAGAATGGCTATGGCAATCGAATCCCGATCCATGGGCAACGACAGAAACACCTGAATGGAGTCGGTATTCTGATATTGAAAGCAAGATAATCGAGGAAGCATACGTGGCGAAGAAATCCCATGTCGTCCTTGACAATTATCACATTAACTTTGAACAGCTACTGCAAATATCAAACAGCGACAAATTTAATCAACGCCCTATACATCGTGTAGAAGTAAACAGCAAAAAGAGTTCACTGCCGAAAGAACGCTATACGTTGGACCCCATCGCACCCACCAGCTCATTCCATATTTTCGTAGAATCAAGGCGAATATTTATTGAGAAAGCTAGACAACTATTGGGCTTAGAGCCGTCCAATTTTTGGACCTGTCGGAAGCGTGAAGTAATGGAGAAAACTATGTCGGGCATTTTACATGAAGGCAAACTACGAGGTGAACAATGTGTAGCCAAATGGATAGTCGAACAGTTGAACAAAGTTAAAGATGGCACATGGGGAGAAATTGGCAGAACTTGCGTGTATCTCTATTCGCTTGAGTCCTTCCTCTACAGAGTTCTCAATCAGATAATGCGCCTCGTTGGTGACAAAGATCATGAGCATATATGGCAAAGTAGACTTGAAACGTTGGGTCCTTTTGCTGTTATTCTCGCTTCATACGTAAGCCCATATCAAGGTAGATCTGGACTAGTAAGTACCACCGTGTACCGAGGTGCTCAGCTGAGTGATGATATCATTGCCGACTATCGCTGTGTGACTGAAAGCGATGACAAGCGACGATCTTTTCAAGCATTTACATCATGCAGTCGTAGCCAAGAGTTAGCTGAACAATTTGGCAATGTTTTATTTGTGCTGAACGTTGTAGATGAAAAGGAATGTCTCGCCCATAGTCTGGACGTCTCTCCGTGGTCTGCCTATCCTGATGAACAAGAAGTGCTCATTCCTCCGGGTCGTTCTGTCAAAATTGAACGAGTCGACTTCGATTCAAGGAAAAACAAGCATTTTATTTATTTGACATTGTTGGGCAGAGATGAACAATAACAGACGTTCGGTGAGAGCACGAAATATTGCAGCCAAAACATTTCTTCTCTTTATCACTGAAATTTTAATCAGTCTATTCAGTATGCCATTGACACTTGTGATTCAACTAAGACTTTTGATAAAACACATGCTTGAGATATATTCTATTTTAACTTTTAAAAAATAACTAGTCCTATTCCCTTCAAGATTAGCTAATATTGTAAAATCTCTGCTTTTTCGAATCTCCAATGTATTTCACTCTATGATAAAATTCAAGATGAAATGATGTGAGAGTTACTAAAAAAAGAATATTTACCAATGATAGTATCATAACGCCTGCCTATAAAGTGACGTCCACAGTGACAATTGAGAATCATCATTGGGTGTAGGTGTGGGATGCGGGTGGTTGTATGTGTGGATGATAGTGCTCATTTATTTCTTACCTGTATACTCACAATCTCACTCATACCGGCACCCTCAAGAGTTTTATTTCAACGTGATACATTGAAATAAAACTCTTATGTCATATCTTTAGTGGGTAATAAATTTGATATGAACCATAATCGCATAATAAGAAAGAGGGGAAAGACTTTTGCTCGGGGTGTATGCTTTTTAAAGTCAAAAAAATCACAAAATCACTCATTTTCCCCCTTGGTAGCTATCGATATCGTCGTGAAAATCGTGGTGATTTTGACAAAACCGAAACAAATTGGCGTAAAATCGTGATTAATTGTATTTCGTTAAAAAATCTGTAGTCAAATGAGATTTTATCGCGATTATGGTACAAGAAATTATGTGGGTTTGGGTGTAGGTATATGGATTGGGGTATGGGTGTGAGTTTGGATTTGTATGTGTATGCGGGTGTGTGCGTTTGGTTATGCGCGTACGTGCTCGTATATGGATATTTCTTCTACCAATACCCACAGTCACATCCACAACCACGTCCCTAGTTTGAATGTTATAAAGCATCGAAGCTTGATTGGAATTATTAGCATTGCATAGAATTCAACAGAGATATGTTTGATGTTGGTACATACTCGATGTCTTCTTTTCATATACTTAGTTAATAAACAGTGGCTGAATACAAGAATAATTTTAATCGAGCGTCATTGTTGAATGCTCTCCATGTGTTAATTTAACCGTATAACACTAATGACTAGAAGTAACGATTCTAGGTAAAAGCAACCAAAAGTCCTAGCTTTGGAGATGAACATTTTATTGTGCACCAGAAACTGCACTGATGTTCGCACTCACAACATAGCATAATACTGTATCAATGCAGAGCAAAAGAAAAAACAGCCAACCGTGAAAATAACAAAAAATATCTTGAATTAAAATATTCAGTTGAGGAATCGCTGATCTAACTTGGATTCAACTCACACAGATTCAATTGATATAATGATGAAACAGTAGATGTTTACTCTCTTCAAACGATATCCTGGGTTTAAAATGAAGATAATTCTTACAAAAAAATATATATTCATATATCGTGATAAACAGGATATATATATATGAAATAATTGGTGTAAATATCGTATTTTATTCATCGATCTTCAGTAAAAGATGTAAAGTATGCCGATCTGGTGGAAATTTTGTAAACGTGTTTGTCTTTGTATTTAACTAAGCCAATATTTATCATAACTGTCATTTCTTTCAACATACTTCATCCGATTCTTATATTCTATTGATTTTTATCTTCGTCTGAATCATTAATGACATTCGAAGTAATTACTTTCGTTAATCCTTTATCATAAAACACAATCCATTCAAAAGAACAAAAGCATCATTTATGTAGATTATTACTGAATGATGAGCTTTGACGATCGAAAATGGTTTGGTAAAAGAACATCGATTTTACTGTACCTATTAGCCAAGATTGCTACTTCACAGAACTGCTTGTCTCTTGGTCAATTTTCCATAATTGAACCAAATTGGTCTAAATGTTCTGTTCTATCTGATGGCGTATGTCACATTGCAATTCTTTAATAAACCATCGTTCAATTATTTTTAGACTGAAACAAAAGATAATGTCTATGCTCAGTGTATGTTTATTAATGTGCCTATCGATTGGAATGAGGCTATCACATGGGCTATCACCAATTGGACAACCTGTACAGAAACCATGCAAATCTTTGTTAAACGTTATTTTCTATTAGGTCATGAAAATAGTTCTCATCATCTATGGCGAATACCAGGTAGAATAAATTTCTATTTTTTTAATAAGTTTATATATCTCATGGTTTTTTGTCATTCAGGTGGAGGGAGTCTGCCTATATATGTTATGGAAAATGAAGCCATAAGTATTGTAGCAACACAACATGGTTTAATATCTGTATATGCAACTGACAAACGAAGTGTTGGTCAAAGTAGTTTATTAGAATGTCCTAGTTCGATTATGTCAAATTTTTCTGCTTGTTTATCATATATTGAACAAAATCGATATCGTTTAAAACACAATACATTTACAAACACAGTACGTGATATACAATATGTACTTGATGTTATCATTGGTCATAATCGTCATTATTTAAAATCAAATCAACGTGTTATACTTATGGGATCAAGTCAAGGTACTTATCTTCTACAACGATATCTTCATTTAACAACTAATAAACAACAAGTCGATGCTGTTATACTCGATTCAATTGTACCAACTGATATAATTACATTAATAGAATTTGATCCATATATCAATTATATCCTTTTGGATCTATTTTCTCGATGTTCTCAAGATAAACAAGAATGTTCTGATCGATTTCAAATTCAAATTCAATGCATGCACTTTATTCATATCAAATGATAGAAGAATTCGAAGGAAATTCATCGTGTCTTTCATTATTAAAAACAAATACTATTGAAATGGCAAAAAAAGTACAGAAATAAGATGAATCTTCTATCAATCTAATTGAATATAAAATAAATATTTCAGATAGCATCTTTACTCTATCCGACACTAATGCAATTAATACCAGCATTAATTTATCGAATTAATCGATGTAATATCAATGATAAGATTGTTATTTGACATTTTCTCGAAAAACACCATTAATATAGGAAAATAGTTTACCAGGACAATCGAATTTGGTATGTTGATTGTTATTTAGATTTACAAACAAAACATACAAATTTTCTTTAAAGATTGAATTCAACAATGATTTTTCTGAACTTTGGTCTTTTGGCAATGGAAAATATAAATCAGTCTCATGCGATTTCATGAAAGGAATGTCAGCTAACACATTTAGTGCCATACATATAATGGCGGATATTTATTGTCCTGTTCAAACAACTGCTATATTAGGATATCCTACCGATCAATATTATAGAAAATAGCCATCAACAAAGACTCGACTACCAGTTTTAGTTTTACACGGTATTTAAAAAAAGAGAAATCAATCAAATTAAAAGAGACTAAACAAATCTTGCATTTCAGATGATATGGATCAAGTATTGCCTGTATCATTATCGAGACATTTCTACAAACAATATTCAGTTTTAAATCCTGATGTGATATATGTTGAATTGCCACGAACAGGCCATACTGCTACGTATAATGAACATTCCTATTTTTTTGCGTATTATTCTTCATTTATTTATAAAATATATTTAGATTCATCACCAATACCAAATCAAGAAGAGAGTTGTGGATGGCAAATAGCTATTTCATTTATGCTATCACCAACATTCCAACCCGACACGTCATGCTTGAAAAAAAATTAGTCCCATTGATTTTGCTGGCATAACTGCCCAAAGCAAACAGATGGCATTGACCTATTTTGGAACGATAAATATGTGGAACTAATTCACTACAATATAAAAGACACAAAATAAAAGCATCTATTCGTTCAAGATTTGTTTTTGATGATTGGAATAGCGACTGAAGAGGGAAGCTTCTCTGATTTCTTAATATATAATACTAAGATTCATTTTCGAAAAGATTGAGATAACAATTCTATGAAGCGACTTTTTTGATCGAACATCTATTATTATTGCCTATGGAAAATTTTATTATTGAAATTTAATGTATTGCTGTTAGAAAACTAAATTAATAGAAAACATACATATATTTATATATATATATCAGTATAGAAAATTAAGAACAAATTGATGATTATTGAATTTGACTAATTATATATGAGATTTCTTGAGATTTAATATTTGACACAGATAAAATAATATTTTAATAGAATTCATGATAGTAAAGTTTCAATATTTATATAGAATTAAGATATAGATGAAACATGTGTAGTTACTCTAAATAAGAAACATTAAAAGAATAGAATATTTATTTTATTTTCTAACCTTTTTATTTTAGAATATCTTCTAGTTCATATTGAGTTCCTTCATCAATAATATCTCCTTCTTCATATAATGGTTGAAGTTTATCTGCTAATGTGAACATAACAGATTTTTCTTTTGTTCCTTGTACAATAATATAATCAATGTTTGACTCAACTTCTCTTGTTTTAATAATAGATTTTTTCACAATCATTGGATCAACATTTTCTAATGATAGTTTTGGTATAATACCCCAAGCAAAATCATGTTTTGTACATTGAGCACGTGCATAATAAGCAAGTATAGCAAGAAAAATTGCACAAACAAAAAGAAATGGTAAAATAATCGTATAAAATATTGAATATTCATTATAATGAATTTTTACTTGAACTGTTTTTATTGTTGTATTAATAGTTTTAATTGAAAAATCTTGTGATATTAATTCTTTTGATGTAATATGGACTGGTGTCCACCATGTGACATATTGTTCAGTATTATTGCGATGTAAACCAAAATAATAACTAAAAACTGTACTTAATGATGTTGGACTATTTGTTATTGTTTTAGCAACCCATGTTGATAATAAAATTGATATTAAAGATAATAATAATATACAAGCAATGAGTAAAGTTAAATTGAATCTTGCTTCAATTAATAAATATTTTGTTTCAGTTGCAATATCATTCATATCTAAAGAAATAGATTTCAAATTAAAATGAAAGAAAAAAATATATAATACAATACCTTCACAGATAGTATCGGCAACATGAGTATTTTTACGTATTCTTTTGTCTTGTGGCATTTCAAATCTGAAAGAGAACATTAAATATTTGTAAATATAAATCTGATATTGTTCAATTATAAAAAAAAAGAATCGTTCATTAAGATTTTGATATTAACAAAATTTAATTAAGATTTTAAACGTCTTCAAAATGAAAATGACTTAGCAGAACAATGAAATTCTCTAGAAATATTGTTTTGAATTTAGACGAACATCTCACATTTTGTTTTTGATCATAAAGACTTTTAGTCTTATTTTCATTTTTAAATACAAAAGCACCTTATCAAAGTTTATATGTAATATGAGAACCACTATCAATCGTACACTGCATCAATCTATGTTATAAATTCTTATAGCATGAATGTATAAAAGAAAAAATTATAGCTACTATAGTTATTAACCAAAATACTAGATAGTAATAGATCAATTTTTGAAGAATGTCTCAGCGAGATATGAGACTTTCAATATGCATCACATATTAGATCAAAAGTCAAAAAGAAAAATTTTGTGAAAATCTAAGACTTCTAGAAAAATAGTTCGACAGCTTCGCCCAACTTGAACTTTTTTTGCAGTTTTTATTAGAACACTATTTAGTACCAATAGGCAAAAAAAATCATTCACATTGGAAGAAGATAACTGAAGAGGTTTCCTCGGTAATACTTGAAGAATTTTTTTGCATTGAACAAAAAACAAAATAAATAAATAGCAATATGCAGATTTTTCATACTCAATCTCTCTTAATTATATTCAATTCTAAAATTAACATCATGTCATTGGTCGTCAATGAATATTAAAAACTGTCAAAATCAAGACGTTATGAATTAGTTGTGACATATATATATCTACATTTATCGAGATACATTCACAGATGTTGATTTTATTAGTTAAATATATTTCAAATGTTATCATCGCCTCTTTCTTTATTCCTAAATTTTGTTCAATGTTCCTATTTATATCATAATTGGTCATTATTTACTTGAATCAATTATTGTTCATGTGTTGTGAGAATTTGACCATCATTTGATGACATCTTTTTCTTTGCTTCTATTATATCGCTGCTGTCAACTTTATGACGTTAATATTTAGTTTTTATTTGTTGATATATTGTCAAACAAATATTCACTTGTACATCAACTATATTGATTAGAAAAATTCTTTTTAATATTTAATATTTTTCTTTTTATTCTTCTATAACAATGTCAAAATCAACAAATAATTCACGTTTATCATCAACAGCTACAACACCTGATTTAGATATAAATAATATTCAATTACAAAATTTAATAGATGTTCGTAATCAAACAAATACAAATGATAAACGTTCAAATAATGTTAATTATGTTCGACATGTACTACGAAAATTTTTTGGTGGTTATATTAAAAAATCTATATCAATAAATTCAACAATTTGTGATGATAATCTTAATGATCAAATATTAACAACAAATAATATTAATGATAATTTAATGTCACCAATATTAATTCCTCCATGTTTACAATATTATAACTATGAAAAATTTTCTGGTAAAATATTAAATAAAATTTGAGTTCAATAAAAAATGAACGTATATATATATATATTTTTAGGTGAATTATTACTTGATTGGTTTTTACTTCATTTTGAAAATCGTTATGAAGATTTAACATTAATTAAACAAGTGATTTTACAATGTTGTACATGTTTACTTGGCCTTGATGTACTTCGAATAGAAAATAATCAAAATAATGATTTATTTCAAGTACGTGAAGAGTTTCAATGTATCTTTTCTTTTTTTTTTTGTTCTGATTGGTTTTCCGTTTAGGGAGGAAAAAAAATAGAAATTTAATCTCAGTTGATTTTCTTTCCTAAGACACGAGGGAAATATAATTCATATATATATATATATACAACCATGTTTGAGTTTAATTGTTTATTCTTGTATTTTTCTCAATGCTTATGATCTATCTCTTTTTTTTTTGATTTGATATTGATTTTAAGACATAAATAATGAAATATTAAGGATAATCATCTTAATTGGAAATAGTTTTATTCGTTTGTATCTTATCGAACAATCATGCATGGAAGGTGTAAAAAACCTTGTCATATGACGAAGGTAATCAATTGTATTGTGTATATATTTGGATAAAGTAGAGGTAAAAACGTGTGAAAAACTATCATTCGTCTTTGTATATGAATGTAAAAATGGTCAATGATATCGACATAATTTGACATGATATGATACGTTTGTGATGTGTGAATGACATAAATTGTTTGACAAACACATTTTTCTTTTTCCTATAACGTTATTCTTCTAGTTAAAAGTGTGGATAGGCAGGCGCGCGTGTTCAAACAACCTGTCCGAATTGAATTAGATATCATTATTTATCATCTCACCTCGTTATAGAACGTTATTATCGCTCTGTTTGTATAATAGTAGATATCATCTTTCTTTTTTCTTTTTTTTTTCTCATTCATTTTCTATACATATTCATACAATTATAGACATCAATTTCTTTTCTTTTCTTTTTGGGAAAAAAAAATGAAACATGCAAGGTTAATAATCCGCATTAATTCAAGTTTCTTTTCATATTGAATCAATATATTTATAGTTGTTGTTGTGACTAGTTGTTACCTTGAATAGAACGAGTAATAACCTTGATGTTCAATATATCCATTCTCAATTAAACTACATACGAGTCTGACAAACTTTTGACATTGAAGATATCCATCGAATGTTAATGTTTCGACACCTATAGGTATATGTAAAATGTTGTCTATGCATTTAGTTCAATTAACAGGCTGAAGCATGGCAAAAAAAAAAATATAAGGAATAATTATGAAGGATATTGACAACAGAAAAAGAAATACGAAATGAATATGTTTCATTGATAAAAATTTATTTCTTTGCACTAATCAAACTGTCATCATATCATTGTAAAGACATATGTTAATCATGTTTATTTTATTGGAATAGTACTAATATTTTCTTGAATGTTTATTGAAGAATTTGATCGTTGTTTATCAATATAGATTTGTCGAATAATCATTTGACATGAACATATCCAAAAAAAACAACCAAGAAAAAATAAAAGAATAAATTTAGCAAAAATAAGACGATGAGTTGAAATATAAGATTTATTAAAATGAAAATATTCATCATTTGTTTCTTGTAATATATTAGTTGAATTAGTTGTTTCAATTAATGTACGACTTGTTATTGGAGAATAGATTGAAACAAATACAATGATGATAAACATGATTATCATGATATTTTTTTTTTCTTCGAATAACTGAATGTCATATTTAATTTATGAAGTAGTGCCTCATTGATATTTGTTGTTGTCGATTCTGAAAATGTCTTTCATCTTCATTCCGAATCATATTAAATGTCATCATGAATATTGATGGTCAATCCATTGCTTTTTTTCTTTTTTCTAATTTTTATATAGGCACAAAATTTATATTCATGGACAAATAATAATTTAGACAATGAAGATACAGATATTAGATTATCATCATCAACAATCACCAATGATTGTGAGTTTTATGTCTTGTGAACATATATGTTTGATATATTGTTTCTCATTGTAATGATGATGGTGTAAGGTGTGAAGCTTTCTGTCTTCATGTCATGTGTCAAGGATGTTAAATCGATATCGTTCTATGTTCTAGTCAGTAAAGTGTGACTGAAGAAACGAATGAGGCAAGCAAACAGGTATCATTGTCGATTGCTCTTTTGGGTACGTTTATAACACATCATTCTATCATTTATATCTCTTATTGATCTGTTCATTTTTCTCTCTGCCTTCATTTTCATACTAATCAATAGAGAATATCAATCTCTTTCGCTTTTCTATCAATATACTCACAAATATGAACAAAAAATTGAGACCTTCATATATAAAACGTATATATTCTTTTTTTTTTAATAGTTAATCATCATCTGATCGAAACTAAAGAATATAAATATAAACCATCGACAACTACAACCATTTTGGATATTCTTAGAGTATGTTATATAAAATTATATCCATATTATATATATTTTTTTTTTCTTATTAATGTTATCTTTAGAGTGAATATAATTTTCATTCTGATGTTCAACATATAGATACCAATTCTGTATCGACACAAGTTAATCTTATACATAGCATAAAAACAATTGAAAAATCCATACAAACAGATTCAAGTATTATTTCATCTAATGAGGTAAACGACAAAAAAAAACCACATATTTGTATTAATATCATTCTTCTATTTTTTTTGTCTGAAATGATAATTTTAGACATGTTTAATTCTTAATTTCGATCAAATGTCATCATTTATTGTATCAAAAACTGATTCGAATAGTAAACCATCATCACCGATATTACATCGTATTGGTGAGAATACTGTTCGACAAGCTATGCAAAAATTATTTTTACATGATAATTTAAACGATCCATTGTCGCCCGGTGTTGATGACGATGTTCATTCACCTGTTTCATCTTCAATTTCATATAAAAATAACCATGCAAAATTTTCAAGTAATTTAAAAATTGATTTTTCTTTTCTACTTTTATAAGATATGATGGCTTTGTTTTTTCTGTTCGTATAGGTGAATTATTATTGGAATGGATAACACTTAATGCTGATACAAGAAATTCTAGTACACAAGCATTAGTAGAACAAGTTCAATCATGTTTACATCCAAATAATAATATCAATTCAAATCATAACGATCTGAGAAAAGTAAATAAGTAATTCTTGATAGGAATAAGTGTTTTTGTTTTTTGAAGTCAGAGTGAAAATTTAGAGTGAGTTTATCTAAATATAAGATATCCTATGATAAAAAAAAAGTACAGGAATGAAAAGTCTTGAATACGTTATTCGTGTACTATTGGGTCTCTTTATAAAGATTTTTCATCAATATTTAGGTATTGAGTTCATCTGTATCAACAAATGAAACTAAATCACAATTATCATTCGTTAATAAACAATTTACATTACTTCCATCATCTTCTTTTGCATCCGATCATAAAATCAATGATGATATACGCTCACTTCTGTCAGATCTCATTATTGACATTGATAAAAAACCAGCAGAAGCATCATCATCTATGTCAGTTTAGTTTGAACATTCGAAACAAAGATATTGAATTTTTTTATTACAGACCAAATGTTACATTGCCACCTCCTCCACCACCATTTATTGCTTCTACCATGCCACCGCCACCACCACCACTCCCATCAATAATGGGTTCTGGTATTCCTCCACCTCCACCTCCAATGATGCCAGGATTTGGTGGTAAATGAAAAATTTGATTATCATTTATCAATAGCTCAATTTAAATTTTAGCTCCTCCACAATTACCACAATATCTATGTAAGAAACAAAAATATTCTGTTACAGAACCAGTTAAAAAAGTTCAATGGAGTAAAGTTAGTATGTCTTCAATTTTGTTTTCTCTTTCATTCATTATCTAATTTTTCAGATCAATCCATATACGATAAAAAAGGAATCCATTTGGGTTAATGTCGATGAAGCAAAATATGTCAATGATACACTTTTTTCTGATATACGAAAAAATTTTGCAAGCAAAGTAGCTCCAAGTATATTAATTGAGTATTATATTCTCTTTTTCATTAAAATTATAATTGTATTCTAGGTAGACAACCAATTAATGATCTTGTTGATAAATCTAAAGAATTACGTGTACTCGATGCTAAAGCTGCACAAAATTTCGGTAGAATTAATTATAAAAAATATTTTATTCTAATAATAGATTTATTTATTATATTTTAGCAATCATGTTTAGTCAATTAAAAGTTTCACCATCCGTATTTCGTGAATGGATGCTTTCATGTGATAATGAAAATTTAAAATATGATTTTCTTAAACAATTAGAAAAATATTTACCAACAAGTGAAGAATTAAAAATATTAGCTGATTATAAAAATGAAAATAATGATTTACAATATTCTGAACAGTATTTTTGTGCAGTAAATTTCAATTCAGAAAAGAAAAAAAAAAAAAGAATCTTTATTTTTGTTTTTTAAATCTTTTATTATAGATCGGTGATATAAAACGATTAAAACAACGTTTAAAAACACTTTTATTCAAAGCAAATTATAAAGAAACAGTAGAAGAAACAGATAAAGTTTGTAAAATTTGTTTAAAAAAATTTATCTTTTTTTAGTTTATTAGGCATTTGTCGAAGTTCGTAATGCATGTGATCATGTTCGACATTCAATACGTTTTAAAAAAATGCTTGAATTAATATTAACAATAGGAAACTATATGAATTCAAGTGCTAAATCTTATGAACCTGTACATGGATTTGATATTAGTTTTTTACCTAAAGTAATTTAATGAAAATTTTTTTTTTGTTTTTTTTTATTTCAAAATAAATTTATTGATTTAGTTACATTCAACAAAAGCTAATGATGGTCGTCGTTCATTACTTCATTTTATTGTACAAGCTATTGAAGATAAACATCGTGATTTACTTTCATTTTCTGATGAATTTTATTTACTTGCTGATGGTGTATCAAAAAGTAAGTCTTTTTGTAAGATAAAAGTGAATATGATGTAATTTGTTTTTTTGTTTTTGTCTATTATGAATTTGTAGTTAATATACTTGAACTTCAAAAACAACCACAAGAAATTAATCGAGAATTAAAAAATGCTCGAGAAGAATTAGCTATTGCAAAAGAAAATGAAGAACCAATTGAAGGAGATCGATTTGCTGAGGCTATTGAAGTAAATACTACGTTAAGATAAAATTTTGATTTTTTTGTTTTGTTCTATTGTAATTATTTTTTTTTAAGGATTTTATAATACGTGCTGATGATGATGTTGCTCGATTGGAACAACTTGATCAAGAAATGACAAATGCATATCAAAATTTATGCGATTTCTTAGCTATTGATCCAAAAAATTATTCACTTACAGAATTTTTTACTGATCTTAAATTATTTTGTACTTTTTTTTCGGTAGATATATATATATTTTTTTTTTTTCAATTCTGTCAAATTTTATTAATTTTAATTATCTTATCTTTTTCAAGACTTGTCTTCAAGAAATTCGAGTATGGCGTGAACAAGCCGCACGTGCAGCTAAAACATCGTAAGTATAATTTATTGAAGAATAAAAAAAAAAAAGAAAGAATTTCGAAAAAAAAAACAAATAAACTATCCCTGAGTGAGAATCAGACAACAAAGATACACTCACACTTCTAGTCAAAACCTGATGTCAAGTTCACAATATTTTGTTCGTACACCATCACGTCGTTTTCCTACACGATCGGATTCTACTGATGATTTTCTATTGGCGGCTGCCGAAAGTGGTTTGTCGCCATCACGTGGTACATCACCATCTAATACACATCGTCGACAGGTAGCTTTTGAATTGCATGATGAAGCTTGCTTTCATTTTAACTTTTTTAATTAAAAATATACAGATAAATGCATGCGGGATTTTTATTACTAATTTATTTTTAAAATATATTTATTCGAATTTTAATGAATAATAAATGACTTTTTTTTTCCTTTTATTGTTTAGAAATACTCAATCATTTGTCGAGAAAAAGATTCAAGAGATTCCAGATGATTCAATAAAAATATCTCAACGTTTAACATCACGTGTTGAAGATTTAATTGAAAAACGTAGAAAAAATCGTGGATTAACACCAACACAAATACCATATAAAAAACGATCTCAATCATAGAGAGAATGATACATATATATATACATATAGATTTTCTTTTTACGCTGGTTATAATTATTTCTATATTGATCCAGTGAACCTTAAACAAACCATTTCTTTTTGTTTTTTCTTTGTTTGTTTTTGTGTATACGTTCGTCTGCTATTTTTTTACATGTTATTTCCCTTAATTTTATTTCATTTGATTGATAAATAAATTTTAGCAAAGATATTGTTTATGATACAATGTATAAGTATATTGAAAAGAAAAAAAAATCGTTGTTTTTTTGTTTTGTTTAAATTACAGATGAATGTGTAGTCTTTCATATAAATTTATACGATCATTACATAATATGCATATAAAATTACCTTCATCATTGAAAGGTATGACTAAATTGGATCGTGATCAATTTACACAAATAATCACGGTTCCATATGTGAATATTCCAGTTGAATGTATTCAAACATCAAAATGGAAAAATTCTTTACTTATATTACATTCATTTAAAAATGTTCGTGATTTAGAACCAATTTCAAAAACACATAAACAAGTTTTATTTGATCCAGATGTTATTAAAAATAAAGACGATATTATGAAAACTGTACCATCAATAAAAAAATATGTTGAAGAATCATTTGATTTTACTTCAATAACATTAACATATGCAAATTATTCAATTGATCAAATTATTAAAGCTATTTTACCAGATGATTTAGGAAAAGATAAACCAATTAATACAGGTTCAGGATATAGTCTTATTGGACATATTGCACATTTCAATTTGAAAGATGAAGTTTTACCATATAAACATATCATTGGTGAGTGCACTTATGATAGTGAGAATATAAGTTTGTAGTCAATATGGCACTATTTGAGCTCTGCTTGTTCCACCTAAAGCCCGCTTACTTTGATACTGTCAACAAAATTTTCTAGTCAAAATTAAATAATTGCTCAGAAGATATGAGATATTTTTGTCGATCTTTTTTATGTTTGATAACAAGCATATACTACATATTTTTCAGACAACGAGGATTCATCAGATAAAGAAAAATAGATATTTAGTTTTCAAAGATTTCCTACGTCTCAAATCAGTTTTTTGGAAATGTTACTATTTGATTTTTTGTTAATAAGTTCTTTGCCATTGTTTTCTCTGTTTTTCTTGAAATAAAGAAAGTTTTTAATAAATTCATCGAACAATTTCAATTGTTACCGTTGATCAATGCATCTGCTTACACATCCATGTGCGAATTTTTCTTTTCTATCATCATAGAAGATTTTCTTAAATATAAAATTTATATTCATATATCTTTATATATAATTTCTTGTAAGAATTGTAGCTCAAGTTGTTCTGGACAAATTATCAAACGTGAAAACCGTAGTCAATAAATTACATGAAATTTATTCTGTTTATCGTAATTTTGAATTGGAAATTCTGGCTGGTGAACCAAATACAATAGTTAAATGTCGAGAAAGTAAAGCAATATTTCAATTTGATTTTGCTAAAGTTTATTGGAATCCTCGACTAAGTAAATTTATTTAATTTTATTCGTTTCTGTTTTGTTTTGATTTTTTTTTTAAATTCATTATTCAGGTACTGAACGTGAACGTATTGTGAATATTCTTCATCATAATGATCTTGTTTTTGATGTATTTGCTGGTGTTGGACCATTTGTTGTACCAGCTTTAATGCTTGGTTGTACTGTTTATGGAAATGATATTAATCCTGAATCTTTTAAATGGATGACTATAAACTTAAAAAATAATCAATCAAAAAAATCTTCCAATCAATATTATGTATTCAATTTAGATGGACGAGAATTTTTACGAACAATTGTATTACCACGTATAGAAAGTTATCAACAAGAAGTAAAAAATGATAGTGAAAAAAAATGGTGTTTATCAAATAATAAAATAGTGATTTTAATGAATTTACCTGATATTGCTTTAACATTTTTGGATGTTTTACCTGAATGGTTATCAACAAATATTGAAGAAAAAGAACAATGGATATTACCTATCCATATTTATTGTTATACATTTTCAAAAGCTGATAATCGTGATGAAGATATACGAATGAGATTAAAATCAATTTTACCGAATATTAATGATGAACAAATAACATGTCGATTTGTTCGACAAGTTGCACCAAATAAAGATATGATGTGTGTACGAATTGTTTTTTTCAATAAGAAGAATAATGATGAAATGTTATCAACAGAAAAAATAAACAAAGAAGACGATGAAGAAGAAGTTCCTGCAAAAAGATTTAAACAAGATTCTTCAGAATAAAGAATTTGTTTTGTTATAAACTCTTTATATAAGAAAATAAAATCAAAATTTTCATTGTTATAAACATATGTTTGAAAATTCAATTTCAATTGAGCATAATAATCTTGAACAAAACACGATGTCTGCTTTTCGTAAACTTTCAACAATTGTTATAGAAAAGTATAAATGCAATATACATGTGAGAACTATACTCAATATTATTGAAATATATCTTGTTGTGGGTACTTATGAATATGAAAGTTCTATTGACGAACTTCGGACAGCCCGATAGAATGAATAGTTAATTCATTGTGTATTCTTTTAGTAAATGATTTATACCAATGATAAATCAAGCAAAATAATTAAATTAGATTGCTATATTCAAATCATAAATTGTCATAAACTAGTTTCATTTAAATTCCAAAACTATAGTGCATTTAGTCAGAACATTTATCGGATATTTCTAAGTTGTGAGTATTATCCTTGATTATCTTAAGCAAAAGAGAAATAAAATGAACTGTAATCTAAAAACTAAATCTTTCATGTATTTTAAGAAAATTTAAGACTGTTCAGTTAAATCATTATATCACGATTTATTGGATAATTTCTTGATTAGTCTTTTAGTTATTACTAGACTTTAAATCTGATTATACTAACATCGAAAAATATATTACAATAAAGAATAAATTAAGATGGTAATAAAAATGGCATTCGACGATAAAATGCGACATTTTTTAACGGTAAATTAATTTTAGATCTGTTGATTAGAAGTTCTTCTAAACATTGATAAACAATTGGATCAACATTTAAATGAAATTTATTTGCAAATAATTCATGTCGATTAGATAGAACTGGTAAATCAACCGTACTAAATATACAAATACCATGTACTACATGTCCATGACATTTATGTCTATCCCAAATAACAAAACGAGCTGTCCATTCTGTTGGATCACTTTTTGCTAAAATAATAATGATAAACGATATTTAATTAATTATCTTTTATTCAGAATAATCTATCTATGTAATAAACTAAAATTGAATTAATTATTCTGATATAAATTTACGGTAGATATTGTACATTACATTAGTGAGAATCACTGATAACAAACAATAAATCACATACGTCATTAAATGATGAATCGTCATTGTGTCAACTTCAATTCATTGATTAACCGAACTGTAAATTTCCGAGCTATATCGACAGAAAAACACTGAATTTTAGCAAAGTGTAAACATACTTTTGAGAAAAGTGTTTCATACTAAATCGTACAAATCAATTTTTCGTGTTGTAAGAATTGTCAGTGTCTTGAGATGCGAAGTGTTTTCGCACTCAAGGTTTTACTTGCGCCTACTAACCACAAGTAACGCTCGTCTTTGTGATTTGCTTGATCCTCGACTCAATGTTGAAAACTTTCTGTATAGTATACTATTTGACAAGTCCAATCTACAGGGTGTCCCATAAGTAACAAGACAAGGAAAAAAAGTTTGAATATCTCCATTAGGGCTCGACCAAATGGGCTCAATTTTTTATCAAGGATAGAGGCATCTGCACACTCCAAATCCATACGAACAAGGTGAATGAGAACCTTTGTTAAGTATCGCTAGTGACCTCAACAATAAAATTTTTGCTTTGTCACTGGTAAGAAAAAACCAATATACAGGATAGTGCAAAAGTCACTTTATCGAAAAGAAAATTAAATATTTCCATTACGGCTCGAGCAACCGAGCTGATTTTTTTACCAAAAATAGAGGCATGCTTATACTTCAAATCCATACAGACAAGCTTAGTGAGGACCTTTGTTAAGTATATTTTTTTATTTTCCTGTCTGTGAAAAAGTAAAAATTTTATTGTTGAGGTCAATAGTGATACTTAACAAAGGTTCTCATTCACCTTGTTCGTATGGATTTGGAGTGTGCAGATGCCTCTATCCTTGATAAAAAATTGAGCCCATTTGGTCGAGCCCTAATGGAGATATTCAAACTTTTTTTCCTTGTCTTGTTACTTATGGGACACCCTGTATACTGATAGTAAATGGTATGTATGAGTCTAGATGCGGGTATGTGCCGGTATTGGTGAGAATGTCACTCAGTGTGTAATGCTGATTAGGCGCGAGTTAGACAGTGAAAACATTTGATTGATTGAAACCGAAATAGGAAATATATCTTCTCGACTGAATTACCGGTATGAAAAAATTTTACCTCAAACAGCTGCTTAAAACTCTCATATAAATTTACCTTGATAACCTCCAGGAGCATGCAAATGTATATTATAATTCAATGTTGCCCAATAATGTTCATCGGGACTAAATGTATCACGCGACCAATCTAATAGTTCTTTTGCTACTGGATTTGTTTGTATAAATTCAACAAATGCACGAGAAAAAGCACCTCAAAAAATTTTCAAAATCATTGATTTTACGTAGAAAAAAAAACAAAGGCCATACCATATGCAGATCCTTTCACAATTTCAACATTACCTGGTGGTGGCTTCTTTTTTTCATTTATTGGTCTTAAATGAGATAGATATGAAGCACCTGTCGTATTACTTATCTTCCAAACATATTCAGTTCGTATCATATCTCTTGTTTTCCATCGTCCTTCAATATCATTATATCCACGATAAATAGATAATATTTGAACTAATTCACTATTTGTTTTTAATGGTAATTCTGTGTTTGCAACATTTAATAAATATTTCCATGATGGATATTTAATTAAATCTTGCATGCAATTTAGATCAGCTTGTAATCTTGAAAATGTTGCATAGATAACTTTTTCGCGTTTACTCGATAGAACAACATTATTAAAACATTGTACAATAGATTTTACACCTTCATATACACTGATTGATGCATCACTATCAACATGAATACAATAATAATTTTGTGGACGATATATTATACGTAAAAGGCGTTCAAATTGTTCAACTTTTTCATGCATAAGAATATTAAATGCTAATGGAAATTGTTGATTAATTGAAGTATCTTCACCATGAAATGATTCATTAAAACGTTCTGAACGATAGATATGACATTGTTCAAATGTTATATTATATTTATTATCAGCAATTAAAGGTAAATATTTTGAACCGGATAAGAGAGCAAGTGCATGCTTTAATTCATTTGGATCGCTTTCAAATAAATTTTGACAAGACACTGGATGATAGAATGGTTGAATATGATTAAAGAATTTTTTATTATTATTTTTCGATACTGTTAGACTAAACAGTTGAATATCAAATGAATCGGAATTAAATGTTTTTAAAAATGTCACATAAATAAATTCAAAAATAAATAAAATACCAAAAAAGAGTATACAGTTGCGTTTTAACCATCGACGTTTGATTGAAAACTCCATTGGCCATACCTGTTAATACATCTTCATGTTATATAAAAACAAAAGCTGCTATGTATTATTATAGATAATAATATTACTCAAACGAAAACTACAGTACCAATCGGTTTGTATTAAGAAAAGAACTCATGCCAAAACGTAGATTCTTTTTGATGAAAGCAAATAAATGATTAACGTGTTGTTATACAGATATTTATTCAATTTCTTCTGTTCTTTTTTTCTTTTTCAATATATCTAATGATTACTTTCTTCGTTAAGTCTGTCTGATTGAATTTTTGAGTCAAATATA